TGCATTTTACCTATAACTCTTCTTTTCTCATCTATTTCAATCATGTGTAGTTTGGTCTTTTAATGGTGTGCCATAGATCTTGTATGTTTTATTCATTGTTTCTTATGTGTGAATGTGATAATTCATCAATATTGTCTTAAGCCTTTATATTCTTTCTTCTGCTGGGTCTACTTTATTATTGAGAATTACAACTAATTTTTTTTCATTCTGGCTTATTGTGCTTTTATTTCCAATATTTCTGTTTGATTCTTTTTCAGACTCTCTATCTCTATATTGAGTTTCTCATATTCTGCATTTTCTTCCTTAATTAATACAGATACTTACTTGTATTATCTTTAAATTCATTGAAAAAATTTAAAATCACTCATCTGATTTTTTTTTTTGGTCTGGAATTTTGTCAATTTCTTTATTTTTGGAATTAGTTACTGGAGAGTTATGAACTTTTGGAGGATGATGTGTTTTTTCATATTTTTGTGTTTCTATGGTGAAAATTGTGCATCTTTTGGGATGGATATCTCTTCTATTTTATATGAGGTCTTTATTATTAAGCAGCCTTTTCTTGATGATGTATCCTGGTTTATTGGTTGAGTTGTTGTATTGTGTTGAGTTTAATTTGGAGTGGAACTTCATAGTGTGGTTTCACTGTGGCTTCTTTGGCTGTGTCAGAGACTGATGGATCTGCTTTTTCTGTAGGTCTCACAAGAATGGCGTCCCTCTGGTACTTTAGCCAGGAGTGCTATAGACAACAGCATATTGGACACACCCCTCCATGGTTAGTCTTCCATTCTTGTCAGCAATGTGTGGTCTGAAAGGGTAGGATTGTAACCTCTGCTGAGGTCCCTTGTAGGTGTGGTTTTCACAAAAGCTGTGTTATTTCATTCTGCTATGGGTTAGGGTGGTGAATGCCCAAAGGATGACTTCAGCCCTCCTTGCCATGACTATTTGGGACTGAGTCATCAGCTGGGGGCTTTTGTGTCTCCTATTTTTAAGGTGAAGTATCTGCCAAGATTCAGTGCAGACTGGATCATGGCTGGAGTAAGCTCAACTGGGCTGAGGGTGCAGTTGAGCTGCAGTGAAGCCTGAACCCAATGTGCTCAATGTACTGGGCTTGATCCTCAGCATCACTCAGAAAGAAGAAAACAACAAAACATAAAAGCAAGCCATCCAGAAAAACCAAGCAGCAACCACCACCACCACAGTACCAATAACAAACAGTATAAAAGAAAGATAATTAAAAGTTTACAATTAATAAAAATAAAATTAATTAAAAATAATGGGAGAAGAGTAAGAAAGATGAAACAAAGGGAAATAAGAAGAAAAAATTTAAACAAAGAAATATGATAAAGAAGTGAAGAACTCAATTAAAGCATAAAAATAAAGTAGTATAAAATATTAGCAAGGAAATAATAACAAGAAAAAAACACAATAGTAGCTAGACTAGACAAAGGGGAAAAACAGTAAAAAAAAAAAAATCCTCCTGGGAGAGGTCCTTGGACTGAATAAGCTTCTTTCTAGGTGTTGGAATCCATCAAGGATGGGAGGGGGATGGGGTGGTGCAACTGAAGCCTGTCATGTTTCTTCTCAGCTCGCAACAAGCAAGTTGGGGTGATATGCAGGCTGTGCTCTGTTTCCTGCCAGGCAGGTTAGGGAATATTGATTGCACCAGAATCAACATAGCTTCCTCCGGAAGCTCTTTGTATATGCATCCAGGTGGATGGCAAAGGTTGAAGCCATCACAACTAGCCCCTTTCATGAACTGAGCTTTGATGTTATGTGGACGGTGCCAGGTGGGTACACATTCTCTCATCTCTGTGCCCAGGGGCATGGCAAATGCCCAAGCAGTGGTGTATCCCCACAATGCTTCCAAGAGTTGGGGGAACAATTAAATCCCCAAATTCTTCAATGGGTGTGTTATTTCTAAGCAATTTGCCAGCCTCAGTCTTGGTGTTTTCTGACTTGGCAAAACCACGTCACTGGTCTCAGTCTTCCTTGCAGAGGGCTAGGACACCACCTGTGGTGCCCTTCATTTCCCTCCCTATCACATCCCATGCTGCCTGTTGCCTGAACCTCTCACTGGGTTTGTGTCACCCTCCCATGCTATGACTATCACAGCGCTCTCTCTCACCAAGTCAGTGTGGTGGGTGGCTACGAAGACCCTGAATTGTGATTTTTTTTTTCTCATCCCGTGAGGAGTTTAGTCACATACAATGGACCCTTCTCAAGATGGCTCCTGCTTATAGCACTCTGAGAGTTTGCGGAGTGATATGGGAAGTTTCTTTCCTAAACCTAGCTTCCCACATAGGAGGAGTCACTGTACTGGATTCCTGTACTGAATTTAAAGCTTGTAAAGAACTGTGGATCCACATATGGTCAGGACTGCTGGTCTGCTGTTGTCATCAGCTTTGTTTGCATTCATTGTCTTGCCTTATGCTTCCAGCATTGAGTTCCAAACCCCAAGATGGGGAACTGGGGTTGAAGTTGAGAACAGCTTTGTAATTTTTTCTGATTTACCTCTCCGATTCTCTGTGCCATTCTGCTTTCCCATCACTTCCTTATTGATTCCCAGAGTTCTTCCTCTCTCTCTCCTCAGGACATGGTTTCTCTTGTTCCCTTTGCTCTTCCCTCTCAGAGTTGTTGGCAGTGGACTTCTGTCCACTCCTGCCATCCTCCAGAATTTCTATTTTGTTCTTTTTAAAAATCTCTGTGGAATTCAGGGATACAAATAGGAAAAGAAGAACTCAAACTGTCATTATTTGATGACGACATGATTCTATGCTTAGAGGAGCCAAAAAACTCCACCTGAAAACTTCTAGAATTAATTAATGAATTCAGCAAAGTAGCAGGATATAAAATCAATACCCATAAATCAAATGCATTTCTATACATCAGTGATGAATCCTCTGAAAGAAATTAGGAAAACTACCCCATTCACAATACGCTCAGAAAACCCCAAAAAACAAAACAAATAAATAAAAAAAGAAACAAACTTGAGAATTAACAAAAGAGGTGCAAGACCTCTATAATGAAAACTACAGAACTCTAAAGAAAGAAATTGAAGAAGACCTTAAAAGATGGAAATATCTCCCATGTTCTTGGGTAGGCAAAACTAATATTGTCAAAATGGCAACAGTACCCAAAGTGCTATACAGATTCAGTGTAATTCCAATTAAAATCCCAATATCATTCCTTATAGAAATAGAAAAAGCAGTCATGAAATTCATTTGGAAAAATAAGAGATCCCAGAATAGCCAAAGCAATCCTTAGCAAGAAGAGTGAAGCTGGAGGCGTCACAATACCAGACCTTAAACTATACTATAAAGCTATACTAACAAAAATGTCATGGTATTGGCACCAAAATAGATATGTAGACCAATGGTGCGGAATAGAAGACACAGAGACAAACCCACATAAATACAGTTATCTAATTCTAGACAAAGGCATCACATTGGAGAAAAATTAGCCTCTTCAACAAATGGTGCTGGGAGAACTGGAAATGCTTATGCAGCAAAATGAAAATAAACCCTTATCTCTCACCATGCACAAAACTTAACTCAAAGTGGATCAAGGACCTAGAAATTAGTCCAGAGACCCTGCGCCTAATAGAGGAAAGAGTAGGCCCAAATTTTCATCATGTTGGATTAGGCCCTGACTTCCTTATCAAGACTCCTATGCATAAAAAAATCAAGAATTAATAAATGGGATGGACTCAAACTAAAAAGCTTCTTCTCAGCAAATGAAACAATCAATGAGATGAACAGAGAGCCTACATTGTGGGAGAAAATTTTGCCACACACACATCAGATAGAGCACTAATCTCCAGAATATATAAAGAACTCAAAAAACTTAACACCAAAAAAACAAATGACCCAATAAATAAATGGGCTAAGGAGATGAACAGACTTCTCAGAAGAATATATACATTTGATCAATAAATATATGAAAAAATGTTCAACATCTTTAGAAATTAGAAAAATGCAAATCAAAACTACTCTAAAATGTTATCTCACAACAGTCAGAATAGCAGTTATCAAGAATACAGACAAAAATAAATGTTGGAGAGGATGTGGGGGAAAAGGCACACTCATACATTGCTGGTGGGACTGCATATTGATGTAGCTAATCTGGAAAGCAGTCTGGAGATTCCTTAGAAAATTTGGAACGAGACCACAATTTGACCCAGCTATCCCACTCCTCAGGCTATACTCAAAGGACTTAAAATCAGCATACTATAATAACACAGCCACATCAATGTTCATAGCAATTGACAATAGCTAAATTGTGGAAGCAACCTAGATGCCCTTCAATAGATGAATGGATAAAGAAACTGTGGTATATATACACAATGGAATATTACTCAGCATTAAAAGAGAATACAGTTTTGACATTTGCAGGTAAATGGATGGAGTTGGAAAATATCATGCTAAGCAAAGTAAGCCAATCCCCAAAAAGCAAAAGCCAAATGTTCTCTCTGATAAGTGGATGGTGATCCATAACGTGGAGGCATGGGAAAAATTGAAGAACTTTGGGCAAAGGGGACGTGGGGGGAGGGTGCATGGGGTCAGGAAAGATGGTGGAATGAGATGGACATCATTACCCTAGATACATGTATGACTACATATATGGTGTGATGCTACATTGTGTACAACCAGAGAAATGAAAAGTTATGCTGCAATTGTGTACAATGAATCAAAATGCATGCTGCTGTCATATATACTTAATTAAAATAAATAAATTAATAAAAAATCTCTGTGGAATTGTCATTTATATTCTTTTTTTTGATGAGATTCTTGTCATTTAATCAGCTTTGCCATGAAAAGCAATAACCTTTGCTATCCACTCTGACCTCCTCCACCACTTAACCAACCATCTTCCTTCATATGCTTACAGCACAAGAACCAAAAGCCTTCCTCCCCACAATACTCCCCACTCAGATCACTGGAAGAAATGACACTAAATGGACTCAGCCTCCTCCATACAGCATGAACTAGGAAGAATAAAAATATGAAGAGTTTGGTTGTGCTATTATCTTAGGATAGAGTCAGAGCAGAGACAGAGGCAAAGGAAGGGTGAGGTCTAGGGATCTCTCAGAGATCAGTATTTGCCTGAGGAGCACAGAGCCCATATTATACCCAAAAGGGGGGCTATGTCTAAGACAGGAGCTGGGATTGGCTAGGCTGAAAGATTTTCTCAAGTATACATGTGAGGGTAAGGGCAGCTAAAATCCTTTCTCCTTCTCCTCATGCCTCCTCTAGCTTTCAGACAGAGGGCAGGGGACTCTGAGTAGGGAACAGTCAGTTCTCCTAAGGTTTCATCTGATTCCTACAGCTTTCATCAGGCAGCAAGTGAAGCATATCCCCTGATGCTGCCCAACTCCTTCCTCCTGCTAGGGCTTCTTCTCTCCACCTATGAGCACCAGGGCCTGCAGGATGTCAGATAGTGATACAATTCCCTTGACCACATCATTCTCATCCACTACTACAAGTTGGTGAACCTCTGCTTCCACCAGCCTGTTGATGATGGTCTCTAGAGTTTCATGCAGGTAGCACTTGAGAACACCCTCAAAATAGTGTGATCGATGTTGTAGAGCTTTGGTCACAGACACATCCAGGTTGTTGTAGGTCTTTTCTGCTGCCAGATTGATAACATCAAACTTGGAGTAGATGTCCACCACACACCCTTTCTCATCCACCACAGGCAGGGCTGAGACTCGATGCTGTACAAAGATACCCAGAGCCACATATACGGGGGTGGTAGTACGGACCACAGCAATATTGGCATAGGTGCCAATCTGCAACTCTTCCAAAGACTTAGACATGAACTCTGGCTTGGGGAACTCAGTGATAAACAATTTGAGAAACTTCAGGATGCGCTTGTGAGTAAGAATGTACAAGGTATTGCCTGATTCTGGGTCAATAACTGGCAGCCTGTGGATCTTGTTTTGAATTAATGAAGAGACAGCATCAAACAAGCTAGCATTTGGAGAAATACAGACAAGTGGCTTAAAGGAGTCCTGTAGGTACACCTCTCTCCAGGTTTCTATTTTGTGTTCTTCTAGCTCATAGATCTGTACCAAGGCTGACTTATAGTAGCGATGTAAGATATTGATGAAATCTGTGATAGCATACCCACAAAACTTTGCTTCTTACTATCCCACAATGGGGCAGCACGTACACCATTAGTTACCAAAGCAAAGAAAGCTTTCTTCACCTGCAGGGAAGTATCAAATACAACCAATTTGGAGCTTGTGGGAATCAGGTCATAGCAGCGATGAGACTTCATGAAGGAAGTATACACACTATTGTTCGATTCCGGGGTCTATTTTTGGGGGCATTCCCCTCAAGGGGACTCTGGAGAGAACTATTCAATTTCAAGCTTGGAGGGTGAAGTCTTTTAGTATTCTAGAAGCTGAATCTCCAGGGGAAAGAGGGCTGAAGGGTCAGTACCTGGGGCAGTTCACTTTAGGCTCCAGTTTTCAGTATAGTACCTCCGCCCTCAACTGTGTCTCAGTCTCTCTCTTGATGCCCAGTTTTGGCCAAAGTGGGGAGGGGGAGTTGTCCAACCATATTCAATAGGTAGACTCTTGGGATCTATTTGCTCATTTTCAGTTTTCTCAGATCAGCCAAGTTACTCAACATTCTTCCATCTGCTTTCCAGCTTCCAAGAATTCATTGCTATTATCTTCTCTCCTGTTCTGATACTTTGTACCTTGAGGATGCTCATTTTCCAGAGCAGGGGAGCTATCTGAAGTAACCGCGGACTGACGGAAGGCAGGCAAGGGCGGGGCCCCGTCTTAGGAAATACGCCCAGCGAAGGAGCAGAGGGGCAGGGTCACGCAACAGGACAGCCACCGGCTACTTCTTGTTTGCCAGACACCAGCGCCAGGCCCTGTCCGTCTCCTAAACTAGGGGGTCTCAGGCTCCACAGCGCCCCCCGGCCGCCCTCCTGCGCTCCTCACCGTCTCCATCGCAAGGGGCACCGGCCTTCCTCATTTATATTCTACATTGCCTTCTTTAATTCCTTCAGCTATTTATTTGAATTCTCTTGGATGTCCTTGAGCCTTTAAAATATCATTCTTTGTAATTCCTTGTCTGGCATTTCATCCACTTCAATATCTTTGGCATCTGTCACTAGAGCTTTATAAACTTTAAGAAATGTCATAGTGCCTTTTTTTCCATATTTCTTTCACTCAGTGTTGTGATTTATGCATATGTTGGGATGGAAATCTTTTCCACTTTTTTTTGTACCAATTTTTTTATTAATTAAAAAAATTATATATGACAGTGGAATGCATTACAATTTATATTACACATATAAAGCACAATTTTTCATATCTCTGGTTGTAAACAAAGTATATTCACACCAATTCGTGTCTTCATACGTGTACTTTGGATAATGATGGCCATCACATTCCACCATCATTTCTAACCCTATGCTCCCTCACTTCCCCTCCCACCCCTCTGCCCTATCTAGAGTTTGTCTATTCCCCCCATGCTCCCCCTCCCTACCCCACTATGAATCAGCCTCCTTATATCAGAGAAAATATTTTCTTTTTGGGGGGATTGGCTAACTTCACTTAGCTCCTTTCCACTTTTATGTGAGGGTCTTCTTATAAACATTTTCCTCTTGATGATGTGTCCTGGAATATTAGTTTGTTGTATAATGTTAATTTTAATTCCAATTGGACTTCATAGTGTAGTTTCCTGAGACATCTTTGATTATGATTAGTGGGTTTTGACACCCTGCATACCATGCTGGAGCCTGAAAGATCCACTTTTTCTGTGATTCTCACAAGAGTAGAATCCCTCTGGTAGTTTAGGCAGGTGTGTTGTATACAGCAGAGTATGCAGTGTGCACACTCAGTGACCTCTTCTACGATGGAATGGAAGCCCATGTCAAGTGTTGGGGGTTTTTTCAGGCTCTGTTGATATTTGCTCTGTTACTTGAAAGCAATTGTGATATTGACTAGTCCAGCTGTGGTGATATGCCTAAAGCTTTTCTCCTGTGTTCAGACACAAGTGCAGCTCCAGTGTTTCACAGGGAGATGCAGGGACTGGGTCACATCTTCCCTTCTGTGGCACTCAACTCTCGTCTTGTCAGCAATGTGCGATGAGGTGGAGTGTGAGTGGTGCTTCATATGCTGAGACACTTGCAAGTGTAGTATCAATAACAGTTGGGTTATTTTTCTCTATAATTGCTATGGGGTTCAGTGTCCAGAAGTAGGACTTCAGAACACCCAACAACCATGTGCCCTCTTGGGTACCAGTAATCAACTAGGAACTTATCCCTCCTACTTTTTTTTTTGTATTGGGAATTTAACTCAGAGTTGCTTTGCCTTGTAGCTCTGTCCCCAGCTTTGTTTTTTATTTTGATGCAGAGTTTTGCTAAGTTGCTGAGGGCCTCACTAAGTTGTTGAGGTTGGCCTCTATTGGTTAATCCTCCTGCCTCGGACTCCTGAGTTGCTAGAATTATAGGTAGGCACTACTGCACCTGGTGTCTCCCTATTCTTTAAATTGAAGTATAAGTTAAAATTCCCTTCCTGCTGAGGTGCTTGAATGAGTGGCAAGAGTAGATGCTTGCAACTGATGCCAATCCAAAGCTTCCGTCTCCACCCCACTAGGCTGTGTGCCTCATGTCCAGAGCAAAGACTGAGGGTTATTCTCCTTCCACTACTTTCTTTTGTGGTGCTCACCAGGTGCTTGGAGGGAGTGATTTCTGGCTGGAGCTGGTTGGAATACCTTTCAGCTATTTGCATACTGAAATGAGCTAGGGTGGAATGCAGAGCTCCTCAGGTAAAAGTTCTCTCTGGAGCTTTAGGGCTGCACACACTGAAAATGGGGTGTAACGACTCTGCAGCTTGTGGAGCAGCACTGAGTGCAGAACTCCCCTAAATTCTTGCTGGAGCTTGCTGGACGCTCAGATGGCAGCTGTAACACCAGCTTTGCATGTTCTGGATGCCACAGAGGCTAGAGAGAGGCTATGGAGTGCTGTTGGAAGGGCAAAGGTGGGATCTGCACAATCTTCTGCTCCCGAGTCTGGTGTCTCCAGATTTGGTTTCCATGTGAAATCACCCATGACTGCTCATGCCCCTGGGCTTCAATAGTTTGCTCACCAAACCACCAATTTTTTAGGGAAGTGCCTTCTGTTCTCCATATCAGTCTGTTTCCTCAAGGTATAAAGTTCTTAGTGGCACTGTCTGTGCAGTGCCTTTCGCTTAGGCCAAACTGACTCTCGTGGCAGCTGCCCAAGAGTGATACTACAGCATGGTCTTGGAGATAGGAAAATGCAAAGGCCTTTGGTTCCCAGATCAGTAAGGTCAAACAATAGGACTCATAACAAGATGGCTCTCTGGGAACCACCATATGACCCAGCTTTACCACTCTTCAGTTTTTAAATAAAATAATTAAAGTGATACATGCCTACCCATGTTTGTAGCAGCTCAATTCACAACAGACAAAGTACGGATCAACTTAAATGTTTGTCAACAGATGAATGAATAAAGAAAATGTGATGTGTATACACAGTGGAGTTTAATTCAGCCATAAAGAAGAATGAAATTATGTCATTTGCAGGAAAATGGACGGATCAGAGAACATCAGGTTAATTGAAATAAGCTAAACTTAAAAAGCCATCTGTTTTCTCTTGTATGTGAAAGTTAGAAGGCAAAAAAAGTGGTGGTGGTAGGGAAGGGACCATATGAGAATCGAAGGAAAACCTGTAGGGTAGAAGAAAGGGATCTGAGAAAGGGAGGAGGGGAAGGTATGGGAAGTTAATGAGGAATGAAAACAATCAAAAACAATTTGTATAATGTGTGTACCAAAAAAAAAAAAAAAAAAAAAAAAAAAAGCTCCCTGTTGCGGCACCATAGAATTTGCTGGAAGTTTAGAGAACTTCCCCAGAGCCAGTTCATCTTTCAGGTCTAGGAACTGTTTAGGCTATCTTCCTCAGGATGCCAAATCCTGTGCTTCTGGGGCTCACTGGGATTCTCCCTGTGTCTGCTCTAACTCGGCTGAGGAGGGTTCTTCTCTTCACTGTGCCATACCGCCATGACACCAGTGCTGGGGTGCTCTGTTTCAGCCTCCATCCCACAATCCAGAGTGACAGGGTTTCTCCAAGTCTCTGCCAGTTCACAATTGAGTTATAGCATTCTCCTCTGGTCACCCACTTCAATAAATAACTACATTACTATTTTTAAAACTTCTGCTTCATTAAGAAGCAGGT